GTGTGTGTGTGTGTGTGTGTGTGTGTATAGAAGAGATTAAAAGATTCACTATGAGCTTTCTACGTATCTGATACGTACTCAGCCGTGGACGTACACGCTAAAAGTTGATCTGCAGGGTCGACATGCGCGTGCACCAGTTCGTACAAGTTCATATAGGCATAGAGATGAGATAGCAGGCCAAATACCAGAAACATATTTTGAATGAGTCATTTATAATGAGCTTACTCTATTACCTGATACCTACACATACGTCGACGGACACTTGGCACTAAAAACCGATTTAGAGCGGTGGTCGAAGAGATGCGCGAGTGCCAGTACATACAAGCTTATTCAAAGGCATAGCGAATAGAGATAGTACAACAAAAGTCAGCAGTATACTTTGAATTGCCTGTCTTTAATGAGCTTTATCTATATCTGATACATACACATACGTCGACGGACACTTGGCACTAAGGAATGACTTAGAGGGGTGGTCGTAGAGATGCGCGAGTGCCAGTTCATACGAACCCGATCGGAATGCGAAGAAGTTCACAGCCGCCAGTTTGGTCGTGTTTGCGTCGATACGGCTGGTATGGTTGACGGTGAAGCGTGTGCAATGAAATGGTGTCAGACACTATACTCAGATGGATATGACTCCGGGATTAAACATGGAAATTGGCAAAGCAACGGAAGGATCGAGCAATAAAATATGAATGAAGGTAAATATATCGCACAATATATAGCACAGCAATTTCTAGAGTTTCATATATAAGAACCCCAAATACCGTGATTAGAATTCAGGAATCGAGAACTGGCTATCCAAATTTTCAAATCAGGATCGAGTATAACATACCCCAAATAAACTGTCTCGTCCAAGCATACTAGCGATGCCCGCGATTCGTCCTGCAGCATGATGGCTTGAGCATCTGTGAAGGCCAAATCACACCTAAACGATTAGTTTCGTCTTAGCTTGTAAAGGCTTGCGAGCAACGTCTACAAGCAGCTTAGAAGCATGAAGTCTACCTCAGGCTTCAAACACCGCCGCATTTACATATGTAGACGAATAAACAAACGTTTGATAGGACGAGATTAGTATGATAATCGATAGTAACATGTGGCATGATGCCTATGGTGAGGCACGACATCTGTTACGGCGGCACAGTGAAAACTCGCAGTTTATATAGCTCATAAAAAGATTTGTGAACAGGTGCTTGATCGTGATATAACCCTTGTCGTACTCAGTGTTGTCTCGTGTTTTATGCATATACATACGCATATAGCAAAAAAAGACATGACATACAACACGTATATAGGGATCTGCGCATTCGACCATACCTGCCAACTCATCTTCCACTAGTACGGTGCCCCTGGCATCTGTCAGGAGTGTCTTGTCTTTGGAAGTGGCGTCTGAACGCCTCGGTTGGTGCAGAATGAGAGACACGTCCCGTGTTTTAGAGGTCGTGTTGGCAATTGTGAAGTGCACTGTGAACTGTTCTTTGGTCAGAACTAATTCTGGCACCTGTAGCGGGAGATGAAATTGTACATAACATAAACTAACTGTGAGATATATACTAAAATAATATCAGGTACAACAAGATATATAATAAAATAATATCAGGTAGAACTAATTCTGGCTCCTGCAGAGGGAGATAATATTGTACATAAACTGTGAGATATATAATAAAACAATATCAGGTAGAACTATTTCTGGCACCTGCACAGGGAGATGAGTGTACGCAAACTAATTGTGCGATACATAGTCAAAAGCTATCTGGCAGAACAAATTCTGAAACCTCGGAAGGAGTACAAAGTCTCTACACAAACCAATTGCGAGATATATAAGTAAAACAACATCTGGGTT